GCACCCCGGGGCCCCCTGCACGGCGCTCGGGGGCGGCGTGTCCTCCTCCGCGGCTCTGCCCCGGGTTTTCGGGTGCAGGCCTGTTCCTTACCAGCCGGCCGAGGCCGCCAGCAATGCGCTTCCCTCAGCCAGGGAGGCTGCTGGGTGCCCAAGAAAGCCCTTGGGACAGCAAGAGGGAGAGCAGGGAGTAAAGGTCGCAGGGTGATAACAAGGGCTGGGGAGCAGCAGCCAGCGCCCACTGCCCCTTGAACATCTCTGAGGGGCTTGTGGGCACTGCCCGGTGAAACTGTCCCAGGCTCAGGCGCAGGAAGTGAGTCTGTAGAGACACAGATAGGAGCCCTGTGCAGGAGGGGCCTGGGCTTGACAGGTGGGGCTGGTTGAGACCTGATGGGCCCACCCGGCCCCGCAGCCTCCCTGTAATTGGGAGAATATGGGACAAGGTAGGGCTGCACACGATATGTGGGTGTGCGGTGGGAGGGCTAAGGCAGCACTGGACAGGCGCAGGTGGGTGGCTTCTGGGGGCAGTGGGCCATGGTCCGTGATTGGTCTGTGTTTGCTGTGGCAGGAGCTGGATGAGATGAAGAGATCGGGGTCCCACTGCCTGCAGGACATTGAGGTGGATGACACCAATGTGCTCTTGTGGAAGGGGCTCCTGGTGCCGGTGAGCATGGGGGGATCTGAACAAGGGGAGGATTGCTCTTGGGGGTCTTGGCTAGTGTCAAAGCGGAGGAGTCCCTTGGAGTCTAATGCCTCAAGGGCCCCTTGGGGCTGGATGGCACTCTGTAACTCCCCTCCCCACTCTCCTGACCCGCATCTAGGACAGCCCTCCCTACAACAAAGGCGCGTTCCGGATCGAGATCAGCTTCCCCCCTGAGTACCCCTTCAAGCCCCCCAAGATCACCTTCAAGACCAAGATCTACCATCCCAACGTGGATGAGAAGGGCCAGGTCTGCCTGCCCATCATCAGCGCTGAGAACTGGAAGCCCGCCACCAAGACAGACCAAGGTACATGCTCTCCCCTGGCCCCTGCTCACTCTAGCCTTCTTGGAGCTTGACAGGGGTCAGTGGGGTGTGCAGGGCCTGCAGGCATTCATTTGTTGTTTAGTGCCTGGGAACAGGTACAGTGGGGCGGTGGATGAGGTGACACACTTGGGGTGGGCGGAGTGGTTTGGGGCAGTAGCATAACTAGGGGTGGGTGAGCGTGGCACTAACCAGAGGTGCCAGAATCGCCTCTCACCCCCATGGAGTCCAGGTCCTGACAGGAAGAGCAGCCCTACAGCATGTTCTTGCAGCAGCAGCCAGGTGCATGGTCTCCCTGCTCACAGGGTTTGTCCAGGGCACCAACCCTGTTTACTGCACTTCTGGTTTGGGGCAAGTGCCCCTGCCCCCTCACACTGCATTGACCCCCCTGGTGCTTTTGGCAGTGATCCAGGCCCTGATCTCTCTGGTGAACAAGCCTGAACCAGACCACCCACTGCGCGCTGACCTGGCCGACGAGTTCACCCAGGACCCCAAGCGCTTCATGCGCAATGCTGAGGACCACACTCGCAAGTTCAGTGAGAAGAGACCAGGCGAATGACACCCCTCTCTACCGCCTCCCGCCATCCTGCTCTGCTCCCTCCTGCCTATGCCTACTCCCTCTTGGGCAGGGGCAGGACACCTCCACATATGCACTGAGACAGATGGCAGGATGCACTCTCTGGAGCTTTGCAGCATGTCCCTTGCCTTTGACTGGAGGGAAGGGCTGCCCATGCCTCGACTTCACTGCAGACCCTATGCCTGGAGAGGAGCCGGGGCCCTACCCCATGGTGCCCCTCTCCCTGCACCAGTTGACTGTCTGTCCCCTCTTTGCTGAGGACTCCTCTCTTCTTCCCCAGCTCTGATGGGGACACTGGGGCCTCCCTTCTGGCACCAGAACTTTAAGCCACGAATCCTCTTTTCCATGTTGATTGTTTAGGGTTTATATGTGTGGGGCTTTGTGTTTGTCTGTCTGTCTGCTTGGCACTTTAAGATCTGAGCTGCAGAAATCTGGGGGTGGTGGAGCAGGCAGCTTTCATGGCTCAGACTGGCCTCATAATTGAGACCTGACAAGACAGGAAGCAAGGAGAACCTGGAGGGACCCACAGCAGGAAGTGACCTTGGGGAGACCTGGGGACTGGGCTCTGAGGAAGGTGGTATGAAGAGACTGAGGTCAGGCCAGCTGTGCCCACTCTGACAAGGAGAGCAGTGCTGAGCTGGGGAGTTTGGTGGAAGACCTCCATCTTTTTTTAAACTCTCCTTTTCCTGTATGGGGTGGGTTTTCCTCATTGTGAGCACATGTTAAGTAGCTGTTTATTTTTGCCAATAAAAGCAGACCATGATCTCCGAGTTCCACGTGCGTCACGCCAATGTGGCTCCTCTCTTGGCTGGGGTCTGGGGTGGGTTCAAAGCAGAGGGTGTTGGGAGTCCCACCTGCTGCATCGGAGATGATGTCAAAGCAGAAGCTCCCAGGGTTGGACCATTCCCAACCCCTGTGCCAGCCTCTGCCCTCAGTCCTGGCTTTAGGCTGGTAGTGCAGGGGTGAAGGACTTTGATACCAGTGGGCAGTTACAGCCTCTTGCTTTTGAGGCTGGCTTTTGGAGATGCTCCTTTTCTTCTGTACCAAACAGAACTGAGGCTGTGCCGGCAGGGGGCAGCACCAGCCCTTCTCACTTCCCCTCCCACCCTCCTTCTGCAGCCCTACATACTGGTAGGGAGGAGGCCTAGGATCTTCAACAGGCTGCGCTGGAGACAGGGAACAGGATGACAGGGCACTAATGCAGTCCTTAAACTTCAGCACAGATGTGCCTTTCTGTAGGAGGCACCCTGCTCTTTTACTGCCTGGATGGTCACGCTCATCTGACTGCAGGGAAGGGATGTGGCTGCAGGATGTGTAGGCAGAGCCTTCCATATGCCCCTGATCAACTGACCCCAAGGACTGCACAGCAGCTACTTGAACTCAGAGTAGACCTGCTTTAATGCCTTGAAGACATGCACACGCTAGCTGTGGTTATGCACCTGCTGCAGACATAGCAAACAGATGCTTGAGGAGGACTCCCAGGGGAGGAGATGCATGTGGTGCTGAGGGGGAGCACACATCCAGCTGGCCAAGAGGAGGGTGACATCTGTAGGGCACAGGGTGTTTGGCTTCAGGGGCAGGAGGACTGCTTAGTACGGTCCCTGCCAGCTGCTACCATCCCAGCTGCTTTGGGGCACTCATGGGAAACTTGCTGTACCTGCCACCGGCTACTTCCTGGACTTGGCAGGCAGAGGCAGGGGCAGTCCAAATGATCTGCCAGTCTAGAGGGGACTGCACAGCATTAGGCTTAAATTGGGTTTGTTGGGCATCTGCAGGTCTTCCCCACCTCTGTAACAGACTGTCCTGGTATCTAGTAACTCCAACCCTCACATTGAAAGCAAAGCCAGGCTCATAAACACCTGGGACCCGTAGTGATGCCCACACTCCCATCACTGGACCAGGGTTGTAGAAGCAACAGCACTTGGTGGGGGGGCTCAGGGTCTGAACTGGGATGGCAGCAGCACCCCCTATTCCTGAGCCTCTCACCCAGTCTGCTCTGTATTAGCAGGAAGAGCCTCTCCACCTCCTGGGGCAGGAGGATGCTGCTGTAGGAGACCTAGCAGAACAAAGCCACAGCCCAGTAGCCCCCCAGGCTGCAGCTGTCCTTGGCAGACAGGGCAGAGGCTTTGTACTTGGGAATGTGGGAACACCCTCCTCCCCTTGCCTGTGGGCAGTCTCTGCAGGTGCTGGCTCTCTCCCCTTCCTCACTGTGGGCCCTGCCCTGCTTCACCGCTTCTTGGTCTTCACCAGCCCCTTGTTCACCAGGCTACGGTACAGCTCCTGGAGATAGGTGTAGACACACTTGGAGTCGGGCACACTCATGCGCACCATGTCATCCACCTCCAACAGCAGGGCACAGTCGGCATGCTTCCTGTGGGCAGAAAGGGCAGGCACTCATCTCCTTTACCCCAGCCTGGCTCCTCTGCCTGTTGGTGCCAGCCAACATGGATGGCTCACTCCACCCCCTGCTGTGGACCCATTCCCAGGAGCCTGAACACCAGGGTCCAGGGCTGTGGCTTGGGGCATGTCCCTCTGAGCAGGAGGCAATGGGCAGGATGCCTGGGAGAAGGAGGGCTCAGCCAGGCCACTCAGTGCAGTCTGGAGGACACTTCCCAGGAGCTGCCTGGTGCTTTATCAGCTTTGTTGGTCACCCCTGGATGCCCTGTTCTCACCATGGCATGGGCAGGTCTGGCCCCGGGGCTGGGCCCATGCTCTCGGGCTGGCTGGGAAGGAAGCAGCTGTGGCTCGTGGCTCTTGTGAGTTTGCCAGCTCATAGGGAGAGCAGCCAAGCCACAAAAGGAACACCCTGCTAATCATCTAATCAGCTAATTAGTGCAGTTGCAGCAAGAGGGCCTTCTGGCAACAAGAGCTTTGCCAGGCTCTTCCTCACAGCACTGTGGGAGGGCATGTGCCCTCTGCCCTTGCAACTTCCCCTAGTAGGCAGGGCAGGCCCCCTACTGGGGAAGGTTGGACTGGGCAGTTCCAGGCTCTGCCCCCTGTTGCCCCTGCCTCTGAGGGGCTCAGCTTTCGACTTAGATGTGGCTCATAGAGGACCTCCAGGTGGGCACTCACTCAGCGGTGGCAAAAGCCAAGGTGAAGTTTTCCCTGCGGTTCTCAGGCGTGAGGGCCGCATAGTCAAAGGCATCAGGGAAGAACTTGTGCACCAGGGCACAGAAGGCCAAGCCGCTGCTCCAGCTGGAGGAGAAGTTCACGATGTCCACGTGCTGGGGTGGGCATGGGCATGGAGAAGGGAATGGAAGAGAGGGAAAAGTGGTCAGACTATGAGTACTTATTGTACTATCCTCCTCACTCTGCTCCCACACCTACCCCTTGACATCACTCCTGCAGGCCCAGGAGGAGCCTAAGCCTGACCAGGACAGCTGGTGGTCTGTTCTCTGGCTGGTACCCATGGCTCATGGCAGACACTATTTTGCCCTGGCACCCATCCATAGCCAGAGGGGAGAGGGGGCAGCAGAGCAGCCGGCCAGGGGCTGTGTGGTGCCAGTGCCTTGTGGCCCAGTCTGTTGGGTTTCAGGCACTTTCCTCCTGCATCTGCATACCTCCAGCACACCACTTGGGCCAGGTCTGGACAGTGGCTGTGGGGACAGGGGGTCATCAGGCTGTGCCATACTGGCTGGCATTATAGTGGTCATGCTCCTGCTGATGTGGGCACCATTTCCTGCCTCAGTCCCTTGGTTGCCCCTTGCTCCCTTGCTAGGATGTGGAAGAGACTGCCCCATTTCATCCCATGCTGCCTTCTAGGTACCATCCTCACCCCCCAGCCCCTCACCTCATAGCCACGGGTCTTTGCGCGACACCACTCCAGCAGCATGTTCTTGATGGCATTGGTGCCCCCTGTCCGCTTGATATTTGGGGCAGGACCACTGGCTGCCCTGGAGGGGAGGGATGGGAAAAGAAATCCCCCTGACCTTCTAAAATGGTCCCAGAGCTGGCACAGGGACAGGCTTTTCTCCTGTACTCCTCCAGCCTAGAGAAGACCCTTCCTCCACCTCTGTCCCACCAAGGTCAAGTGGGACTAGGAGGGGCCTGGCCATGGAAGAGCCCACCCAGGAGCTGGAAGTGGTACTGTATTATCCCATACCTGGGAGGGTACCCCTGCCAGACCCCCCCCCCCCAAGCCCTCTGGGGAGTTATGGGGC